GGCCCCCTGCCCTCTCAGCCCCCCAGGGATGGGATGGGAAAAGGTCCTCACCGCTCTTCCATGAGCTCCCTGATGGAGGCCACGGTGGGCCCCGAGCCCAGGTGGGTGTAATACGGCCCCTCGTCCTTCTCCACGATTTGCTCTGAAGACACAGGAGGGGGAGACCGAGATTTTGGGGTTTGCACTTCCATCAGCTGCTCCAAAGGATTCCAAACCCCCAAATTCCCTCAAACCAAACTCAAGGGTTTGGTTTGAGAAGGGGGAAGGGATTCACTAAACAGCCTGGCAGCTCTTCATCATTTTCTGCTCTGGAAGATGCTCCCAGCACTAAAATGCCACTGGAAAACTTGGAAATGGGTGCTCAAACCCACCCCTGTTGGGGACTGAAAAACCTCCCTGAGCAGCCACAGCCCTTCCAAGCATCCCAGCAGTGACCACGGCTCCATCCTGGCTCAGGGGATTCGCTCCAGCCACTCCAGCTCTGGATTTGGATTCCAAATTCCACTGGACTCCAACTCGAGATTCAGATTCCAAACCCCCTCCTCATCCCAGCCCCTGCTCACCACCTGGAGCATCCCTTTGGTCCTGCTCACAGGGCTGGATGCTGCCAAAACCAACACGGGATAATTTGGGGGCTGAAAACTGTTGGTGCTGCTTTAGGCTTTCCTGGAGGATTTGGGGATGTTCATGGGATGATCCAAGTTGACTGTGCAAGGAAGGAACTGCAGTGCCAGGAAGAGGTGGAAGGATGCTGGGGCTATGGGAGAAGGATATAGGCTACCAAAGGATGCTGGGACTGTGGGAGAAGGATGCTGGGACTGTGGGAGAAGGATGCTGGGACTGTGGGAGAAGGATGCTGGGACTGTGGGAGAAGGATGCTGAGGCTTCAGGAGGGTGCTGGAGCTAAGGAAGGACACTGGGGCTATGGAAGAAGGATAGTGGGGCTGCAAGAGGATGCTGAGGCTTCAGGAGAAGGACACTGGGGCTAAGGGAGGATGCTGGGGCTGTGAGAGAAAGATGTGGGGTACAGGAAAAGGATATGGGCTATGGGAGAAGCACACTGGGGCTACGAGAGAAGGATGCTGGGACTATGGG